GGCCAACCGACTGGAAGAAATCCATAATTGTACTCATTCCAAAAAAAGGTGATTCAACAGAATGCGGAAATTGTAGAATGATATCATTAATATCATACACAAGTAAAATTTTGCTGAAGATCATTCAAAAGCTGTTGCAGCAGTACAACAACAGGGAACTGCCAGAAATTCAAGCCAGATTCAGAAGAGGATGTGGAACAAGGGTTATCATTGCTGATGTCCGATGGATCCTGGCTGAAAGCAGAAAATACCAGAAAGATGTTTACCTGTGTTTCATTGACTGCAAAGGCATTCGACTGTGTGGATCGTAACAAATTATGGATAACATTACAAAGAATGGGAATCCCAGAACATTTAATTGTGCTGATGAGGAACTTGTATGTAGACCAAGAGACGGTCATTAGAACAGAACAAGGGGATACTGCATGGTTTAAAATCAAGAAAGGTGCATGTCAGGGTTATATCCTTCCACCATACTTATTCAATCTGTATGCTTAGCAAATAATCCGAGAAGCTGTGCTATATGAAGAAGAACAAGGCATCAGGATTGGAGGAAGACTCATTAACAACTTTTATCATGCAAATGACACGACCTTGCTTGCTGAAAAGTGAAGAGGACTTGAAGCAGATACTGATGAATATTGAAGATTACAGCCTTCAGTATGGATTACACCTCAACATAAAGAAAACAAAAATCCTCACAACTGGACCAATAAGCAACATCATGATAAGTGGAGAAAAGATTGAAGTTGTCAAGGATTTCATTTTAATTGGATCCACAGTCAATGCCTATGGAAGCAGCAGTCAAGAAATCAAACGACGCATTGTGTTGGGCAAAAAGACTTCTGCTGCAAAAGACTTCTTTAAAGTATTAAACAAAGATGTCCCAAGCCATGGTGTTTTTAATTGCCTCATATGCATGTGAAAGCTGGACAGTGAATAAGGAAGACCGAAGAAGAATTGATGCCTTTGAATTGTGGTGGTAGTAAAGAATATTGAATATACCATGGACTGCCAAAAGAATGAACAAATCTATCTTGGAAAAAGTACAGCCAGAATGCTCCTTAGAAGCAAGGATGGCGAGACTTCATCTCAGATACTTTGGACATGTAGCTGTTGTTTATTGCCATTTATTAGATTGAGGAAGTTTCCTTCTATTCCTGATTTGCTGAGAGTTTTTATCAAGAATTGATGTTGGATTTTGTCAAATGCATTTTCTGTGCCTATTGACATGATCATACGGTTTTACACTTCTAGTTCATTCATATGGTGAATTACATCAAAGAATTTTAGGATGTCGAACTAACAGTGAATTCCTGGGATAAATCCCTTAACCAAACCAAACTCACTGCCATCGAGTCAATCCTGACTCATAGCAACCCTATAGGACAGTGTAGAACTGCTCCATAGGGTTTCCAAGGCTATAAATCTTTACAGAAGCAGAGTGCCACATCTTTATCCTGAGGAGCATCTGGTGGGTTTGAACCACCGATCTTAAGGGTAGCAGCTGAGCACTTAACCACTGCACTACCAGGGCTCCTTAAACCCCCCTTAGTCATGATATATTATCCTTTTCTTTCATTGTTGTATTTCTTTTCCTAAAATTTTGTTTAGAATTTGTGCATCTATGTTCTTAAGGGATATTGGTCTGTAGTTTTCTTGTATTTTCTGGTTTGGCTATCAGAGTAATGCTGGCCTTATAGAGTGAGTAGGGAAGTATTCCTTCCTCTTCAATTTTTGTTAAAGTTTGTGTAGAATTGGGATTTTTTTCTTTATTAAATATTTGGTATAACTTACTGTGAAGCCATCTGGGCCTTGAGTTTTATTTGTGAGAGGTTTATAACTACAGATTCAATTTCTGTAATAGATACAGGGCTATATAGGTTATCTATTTTTTCCTTCAGTGAACTTTAGTAGTTTGTGTCTTTCAAGGAAGTTGTACCTGTCATCTAAGCTGTCAAATGTATTGGCATAAAGTTGTTCATATTTCCTTACCATCTTTTTAATATCTGTAGAATATTTGGTGATGTCACCTCTCCCATTCCTTGTTTGGATAACTGTGTATTCTCTCTTTTTTGCCTAATTAGAAGGTGATCAATTTTAGTGATCTTCTTAAAGAACTAGCTTATAGTTTCATTCATTTTTCTCTATTGTTTTTGTGTTCTGTTTCACTGATTTCTCCTCTGATGTTTATTATTTCCTTTATTCTACTTGCATTAGCTTTGATTTGTTCTTTCATTCTAGCTTCTTAAGGTGGAAGTTGAAGTGATGATTTAAGACCATCTTTTTCTTTTCCATTATGGGCATTTAGTGCTATAAATGTTCCCCTAAGAATTATGTTAGTGGCATCCCTCAAATTTTGTATTTTCATTTTCATTCAGATCAAGATGCTTTATAATTTTCATTTTGACTTCTTTTTTTGACCCATATTTTAAATAAAAGGTCATTAAAAAGTTGGGTTATTAAGAAATGACTTATATAATTTCCAAATATTTAGAGATTTTCTAGACGTCTTTCTGTTATTGATTTCTAATTTAATTCCGTGTGGTCAGAAAACATGTTTTGTTTGACTTGAATTATTTTAAATTTATTAAGACTTGTTTTATGGCCCAGAATATGATCTATCTTGGTAAAAGATTTTAAAACAATGTGTATTCTGCTGTTGTTGGGTGGAATGTTCTATAAATATCAATGAGGTTCAGTTGGTCGATTGTGTTGTTCAAATCTTCTATATCCTTACTACTTTTTTGTCTACTTGTTCTATCAATTATTAAGAGAGAGGTATTGAAATTTCTAAGGAGCCCTGATGGCTCAGCGTTTGAGCACTTGGCTGCCAGTCGAAAGGTTGACAGTTCTGACCCACCCAGAAGCTCCATGGGAGAAAGACCTGGCAATCTGCTCCCATAAAGATTACAGCCAAGAAAACCCTATGGGGCAGTTCTACTCTGCCACATAGGGTCGCTAAGAGTTGGAAATAGACTCCATAGCACCTAATAACAACACTGAAATTTCTGACTATAATTAAGAGTTGACATTTTCTTCTTACATTTTTGTCAGTTTTTGTTTCATGAAGCTCTGGTATTAGGTATATAAACATTTAGGATTGTTCTGTCCTCTTGAATCAGTACTTTTATTATTGTGAAATGATCTTCCTTATTCCTAGTTATATTTTTTGTTCCAAAATATACTTGGTCTAATATTAATATATCCATGCCTGCTTTCCTTTAGTGTATTAGTGTTTTAGTAGTTTATGCCTTTCAAGGAATTTGTCCCTTTCATCTAAGTTGTCAAATGTACTGGCATAAAGTTGTTCATAATATTCCTTCATAATACTTCCTTACAATCCTTTTTGTGTTTAGTATTGGTATGGTATATCTGTTACTTCTACTATATTTGTACCTATGTTTAGAACATGTTTCTTGTAAGCAGCATATAGTTGGGACTTGTTTTTCTATCCAGTCTGAGATGATATGCCTTTTAATTGGAGTATTCAAACCTTTTACATTTAATGCAATTATTGATTGTTTAGCTTTAAACCTATCGTATGATTCTTTTTCTTTTTGTCCCATCTGTTCTTTGTTCTTTTATTCTTTCTTTTTCTTCCATTTTTTGGATTAATTAAATATTCATAATGATTTTATTTTATCTCCTTTTATTAGCTATAACTTATTAGCTATATTAGCTGTAACTCCCTTTTTTGTTATTTTAGTGATTGTTTTAGGGCTTATCGTATAATCTTTAACGTATAACAATCCACCCTCAAGTGATATTGTTATCACTTCATGTATAGTATAATACGTTCTATTTTCTCCCTCCATATTTTGTGCTATTGTTGACATACATTTTACTTTTACATGTTATAAACCCCATACAATATTGTTTTACTTTTGTTTAAACAATTACTTTTTTAAATATTTAAATAATAAACATCAATTATATATTTCCCCATAGTTACTCTTTCCAGTGCTCTTAATTTTTGTGTATAGATCCATATTTTCATCTGCTGTCATTTTCCTTTTGCCTGAAGGACCTCCTTTAACATTCTTCTGTGAATCTTCTGGTGATAAATTTTTCAGCTTTTGTTATGTCTGAAAAATTCTTCATTTACCTGTATTTTTTTGGAAGATATTTTTGCTGGGTGTAGAATTCCTAAGTTTTGTTTGTTTGTTTTGTTTTGTTTTTTCAGCACTTTGAAGATGTTCCTCCACTGTCTTCTCACTTGACCTTGTATCTAATGAGAAATCTGGTGTCTTCCTTCCTTATCTTTCTTTCTCTGGATGTAATATGTCTTTTTTTCTCTGGCTGCTTTTAAGATTTTTTTCTTTATCACTGGTTTTGAGAAATCTGGTTAAGCAATTGGTTTCTTTTTATCTTACAAAGAACATGAATTATGTAACTGGTTGTGCTTCCTTCTTTTCACTAGTTGTTAAAAGCTCAGATCCTCATTTCTGCCCCATCTCATGAATCTTGCTTACTATCTTCTCTGGGACTTCATCATCATTATTCTCATTTATTTCCCTGAATTTCTTCCATTCTGTTGCAGCATATATATTTTTCTTAATTTTATTTTTACAATCATAAAAGTAACACATTTTCATGGTATTAAGTCAAATAATTTATAAATGTATAAAAACATGCTAGTTATCTCTCCTTCACTGACCCCCATCTCTCACTCCCACCCTGTGAGGCAACAGTTGTTAACAGTTTGATGTTAAACTCTCACATCTCTCTATGTGTTCATATAAATATATTTAGAAATAATAGTAGAACAGGGTAGAATATTAAAAAGATAAACAAATGGAAATGTTTAATGGTGATAATGATGATATCAACATAGAAGTTGTTGCAAATGTTTGGTGTCTGCTTTCATCTTTGCTAGCTGGATATGAAGTTCCTGGGGAGGGCTGACCCTGGAACTTGCAGCTCAGAGTATGTGGGACACTCTGACCCCTGGGTCATATAGCCAGCAAAGGGAAATTATGACCTTGACTCTTCTGCAGATTATTAAAGACCTGCAGCTTCTGGGATTGGTGGCAGCATTGGTGATTGCTGATGTGATCCTGCTTGTGACGTGGGTGCTGACTGATCCCATCCAGTGCCTTCAGATCCTTGGTGTCAGTATGACGGTGAGGGGTTCAATCTCTGGAGAATCTTGTTCCTGAACTGGGCTGGCCTCTGGGGATACACAGGGGTCATTCTCCCTGCAGCATTCACTGTGTGGTCATCTGCCCAACAAGGAGACAAATGACCCAAAGAGGAAGGAGAGTTAGGAGCTGTGACTGCTGTGAATGCCTTACCCTTGACTGCAGGGTGTGCTACCGCTTCCACTGCTCCTCCTGCCCCAAGTGTCTTTTCATGGGCATCCACCAAGATGTCAGCTCACTGGGACCTGCCTGGCAGTTAACTCTGCTTCTATATTCTCAATAATGAGAACTTTCAGTTGTGGGAAGTTGTCTTCCCCTAACTGCTAAGAGGTGGCATTTTGAGATGGTCTTTGTAGTCAGTCAAACATAGTTCAAATCCCAGCTCTACCACTTACCAGAAACGTGACCTTGGGAAAGTTATAACCTCTCTAAGTCTCTATTTCCTCATAGGTAAAATGGAGATAATAATACTACCTATTTCATAGGGTTGTGGTGAAGATAAAGTGAAACAATGCAAGTAAAGGACTTAACTGTGCCTGGTACACAGAGTTAAATTAATAGGAAGTTATTTTATGTCTCCAGCAAGGAGCTGAGGAATACAGTGGAATCTTGACATTACAGATTTAATGTGTAATATTTCAACTGCTTGTGAATATCAGATCCACGGTGTGAAATAACTTGTAATTTTGATGAAGCACTAATTTGAATCAATGTAGGAGCAAAGGACAGAACTGAGGGGTAAACCCTGCTGCTGCCCAGCATTCACATGTCAGCCCAACTTTGTTGTCTTTTCCTCCAGCTCATACGTAGTCACTCTCATTTAGTTTCTGATGGGGTCAGCTAATTTTTTTGCACATTAATTTTTTGTATCACCTAGTTTCTGCATACTAAGGGGGAAATTATTTGCTACAGTGGAGTTCCCAAGCCAGGATGGTTACAAAGATTTGCTGTGTGTTTCTGTTAATTGTGGGTGCCCTCAGTCCTGACTCTGTGTCCCTCATAGGTGACAGGGAGAGACGCGTCCTGCTCTCTGACCAGCTCACACTTCTGTGCTTCCCGCTACTCTGATGTCTGGATTGCTCTTGTTTTGGGATGCAAGGTAGGTAACAACATCTCCTTGGGATACAGTCTATATCTGACACCAATAAAATGGATGTGAAGAGGGAATTGCAGGAATTAATGAGGTATTGTCTGCAAAGAATGTTGAACTTAGAAGTGATCTCTGTTGATGCATAAATCTCAAAGCCATGACCTTTATTATTTTACTTTTTATTTGTTTTTTGGGGTCACATTTCTAACTCATTGAACTCCCTCATTCACTCCTCCCCCAAATCATTTGGACTTCACTCACTGTTCCTTCCATTTCTTGGTCTGGTTTTTAAATTGATTTGACAATACCACTTGCCTGCCCACTCCTTTGCCAAGGGAATTGTGTGGAGACATTCCACCCAACTTAATTTGTTCTCTTAAGTGCCCTTTTTACCCATCCTGTGTCTTTCTTCAAGACTTGGGTCAGGTTATCCTGCTACCTTTCACCCATCTGACTTCCTCACTCCGGATGGAAGCAGTGCTTACGCTAGGACAGATGGTAACATCCATGTGCCCTGTGAGAGTCTCCAGCTGTCTCAAAGCATCTCCCATACCAGTCCGACACCCATCTCTCCCAACTGCCTGAGTATCTCATCATTAAACTCATTTTTCTCTGTTAGATAATCAAATAGGGGTGTTATCTCCGGAGGTACCTATACAGGGCACTACTGGAGGTCCTCTGGCAACTTTCATCAGAGCTGATTATCCTATTAGCTGATTTTCAGTTTAGAGGAGCAGAGAATCTGGCTCTGAGGGGATACAGGACAAGTCTGTTTCAATGAACAGGGCAAACCCTGGGTGGCAGGAGGCTGCCTATTGACTGCTAGGGCAGAGGTCTTGGTTGGCCAATTGCTAGCAGAGAGGATGCAGTTTTTGTAAAAACGTTGTTGTCGTCGTCGTTAATTGCGGTCGAGTTGATTCCAACTTATGGTGACCCCATGTGTGCAGAGTAGAACTGCTCCACAGGGTTTTCAAGCCTGTGACCTTTCAGAAGCAGATCACCAGGCTTACTTTCAAGGCCCCTCTGGGTGGGTTTGAACCACCAACCTTTCAGTTAGTAAGCCAGCGCATAACCATTTGCGCTACCCAGGGGCGCCTTGTAAACATTGGTGACCTTTAAAGGTAAACTTTACCCACTTCACCACTAGGAAAGTATTAGAAGTATCTGCATCTGTGGAACAGGCCTAGAGGTGGGAAGGGCTAGGACAGGGAAATGTTGCTTTTTAATTTTGTGCATATGTTATTACCTTGATAGAAATATTTTTTTTTAAAAAGAAGACACAAAGTAACCAGCTCTTGATCTCTAGTTTCTTGCTAATGGTAAAGAAAATGGACTTCAGAATCTGACAGAACTGGGTTTGAGTTCTGAATCAGCCCCTTTCTAGCTGACCCTACACCTCGTTTAACCTCTCTGAGCCTCGGTTCCCTCATATATAAAATGGGGATGATGATAACATCCTCTCAGAACTGGTCTGAGTATTGAAAGAGTTCACGAATGTAAGGAGTTTTCAACCACTCCTGATCCATAGCAAGAACTCAAAAATGTCAGCTATTATTAACCTTCTGCTGCTCCCTTGGACAGTTCTGAAAAACACGGTGCCTCTCCCACTTTCTTGAAAGTCTTTAGAAGAGCATGTCCTCCCCAGCACGGAAACCCACCACTTCCCCCTTAGCAATTCACTTCACAACTCAAATTGATTTATTTTCTCCATTGCCTTTTATATAAGCCCATTTCCTTTTTATTTTGCTGTAATACCCTTCTGTAGGACAAAGAAATAAAAGGGGGAAAGAGTGCTGAGCATCAGGAAACTGAATGAGCCAGACCCTGCAGGCTCCCTAGTCAGTGACGAACACCGCAATCTTCACATTAACCTGCAGGACCCCTGTCTGATGCTGTCAGCTACCCTACTGTCCCACACTTCCCAGCCGTGAAGGCGAATGGCATACAAGTATCGGATGTGACTCAAATATGAGTCATGGATTTATAGAGGCTTTATTCATACCTATTTCCCTTCGGCAAGAATTTTAATGGAATTAAGACATTTTAGTAGAGTCAAATTTAAACAGCTCAAAATCATAGACTTAATTTACTAATTGATCCAGCTTCACCAAATGCCACCTGGTGGTGTCAGTTATCCAAAAGTCAGGCTCCCCTCACCTCCTGACTTGTGTGTCTTCAAGTTATTGAAAATCTCAAGGTGGCCATATTTGCTCCTCAGGCCCCATTTGGGATACTGGGCATTAGGGGTAATGGAAGGCATCTCCGCTGTGCTGTTTTCTTAGAGCCATCCCAGCAGGTGAAGCTGGTCAGGTTGTGTGATTTCAGGGCCACTGTCGGGTGCCCTGCTGATACCTGACCTTACTTACATCACTAGTTCTTCCCATAGTTCCCACCCGACCCCTCCCTTCCACCATGGCATCTTCATGTTCTATCTTGTAAATATGGCCATTTGTGTGCTTGCCTTAAGTCTCCTACCAGAGGGAGCACCTTGAAAGCCAGGACCATGACTTATCCCTCTTTGTAGCACTGTTTCCTGCCCTACACCTAGCAGGTACTTTGCACATAGTCGGATGGATGAATGTGTATTGAATTTGTGTATTATTGATTTCAAGCTTTGATTTCTGTTTAAATGCACCTCCTTCTAGGAGAGTCAGTACTTTAAGATGCTACAAGTCATTTTCACCTTAGTACAAATGAGAAATCTGAGAGCAGGTTTATATGTATGGGAAAGAGGGAAGAATAGGGCCCTGGATTTTCAGGATGGAGACAGAATATCACAAAGAGGGTGAAGCCTTTGCTGCCTGTGCCTAAGTCCTACCTTGCTTTCATTCTCCTCTTCCTTCACTCTTCACCTCCCATAAACACCTGCTGCCAGCAAGCCACTACTAGCCTAGGGAGATCTTCTGTGTGAGTTAGAAAAAAGCCTCCCAGCTAGGCAGATGCACTTCTGCCAGTGCAGGTCTTAACAAGCAGATGGAGCCTTTGGGTAAATCAGAAAGGAGCCCCTTTCTCTGGGCATTACCCCGCCACAGCGCATGGCTTGACGGGAAGACCACAAGTCGATTTTGGCTTCATGTAATGCATAGCTGCACAATGGAGACAGTAGCCCTAACCACCAGCAGCGTGATGTGCCCACTGCCCTCCTATTGCCCAGCAGCCCTTTCCATGGGACTCCTGCCTACCTACCTGCTCCTGTCCCATGCCTCGTCCCAGCAGACTCCTGCCTGGTGGCTGACTTGCTTACCCCTGATAAACTACTTCTCAGCAGTGGTGTCACGAAGGTTGGTGTCACCCTCCCCGCCCTCACAGACTTCCTCCTGTACCAGACCATACAGAATCCTTAGTAACATTTTTTGTACTAGTGTTATTCGTAAATCGTAATTCCCATATATCAGTCCTTCTTTTCCTTTAATTACTACTTCGTTCTCAAAAAAGTTATTGATACAGGTTCACAAACACTAATTACCACAATATTGTAGCTAAAACACCAGAAAATTTGACAAAATCAGTGACTATAAAACCACCAGCAGCAATGAAAATAACAGTGTACGTTTGTAGCGCAAGCAGATAAAACTACGTGATTGAAAGTGTTATTGTAACTGGGTAATAATGACAGCTCTGACCAGAGTGCATTCGAAGGCCCCAAAAGTCAATTAGCATAGAGTTTTAGCCTTGTAGGTATATCGATACGTGTAAGCTGGGCTTATGAGTAATGTTTTTGTTATAACTAACTGTTGTTGTTGTTAGGGGCCATCAAGTCAATTTTCAACTCATAGTGACCCCTTCTGACAAAGCAGAACTACCCCATAGGGTTTTGTAGGCTGTAATATTTATGGGAGCAGATTGCCAGGTCTTTTCTCCCATGGAGCTGCTGGTGGGTTCAGACCACCGACTTTTCCGTTAGCAGCCTAGTGTTTCACTGTTGCACCACCAGGCCTCCTTCATAACTAACTACAGGGATATTTTTCTAGATGGTCATTTTGGTGTCACCCTCTCCGACAGTGCCACCCAGTGTGGTCCGCACCCCCTGCATCCCCCTAGTGACGCCACTGCTTCTCAGTAAAGAAGGAGAGGAAAATAACATTTATTAAGCACCTACCAGGTATAAGAGCTGTCCTAACGGTTTTGCCTTATGCTATCTTAGTAAATCCTTTAAAGTAAACCCTTCAATGTAGGTATTATTACCCCGATTTTACAGACAAGGAAATTGGTCCCAGCCCTACTGCTGTCTGAGCCCGAGCCTGTTTTTCCACTTGCCTGAGCCTCTGGTTCTGCTCTTGCCTCCAGGGTCTGCTCCTGCTGTATGGTGCCTACCTGGCTGGCCTGACTGACCACGTCAGCTCTCCTCCTGTGAACCAGTCCTTAACCATCATGGTGGGGGTCAACCTCGTGGTGCTGGCTGCTGGGCTGCTTTTTCTGGTCACCAGATACTTGCATTCCTGGCCCAGCCTGGTCTTCGGACTCACGTCTGGAGGCATCTTCGTTTGCACGACCACAGTCAACTGCTTCGTCTTCATCCCCCAGGTAAGCTCTGTAGAGAACTGTGCAGGGCTGTCCTTCTAGTCACTCCAGAGGCCTCCCTGGGTATGAGAAATTTCTCATTTTTCTTTCTACTGTTTCCTTTCAGTACTGCTTATTAAAGAATCAGAAGAAAGGCGGGGTTCCTAGTGAGCTGGCTCCCTCGATGGTTCCCTCTTTGCTTTCCAGAAGGAGGACAGCTCTTCCTGGTCAGCAATGAGGGTGGGCCAGAAGGGACCAAGCTGTAGCAGGAGCCCCTGTATCCACCCCTTCACGTCCCCGGCACCTGCTCCTTGGTGGCGGCCTCACAGACCTGATTTTCCACCCACTCTCAAGTCGGCTTCATCCACCCCTACTCCCCCTTCATCTTGATGACGTCATTTCTTCCCCTAGTCTGGGAGTGAGGAATCTTTGTTTCCTTCCTGTTTGGGTTTGTGAATATTGCAGATTCGCAAGGGAAAAATCCACTGAGAACTTGATGCAATTTAAAATGCTTTTCCTAAAAAATAAATAAATGTGTTTAATTTTATTGGAGGAAAATATAAAACATCATCCTCTTTGTCTTTTTACGATAAGAAGAAATAAAAATGTGTTGTATATTATGGGGATTAAGAAAAAAATAATCAAACAAGGGAGAGAGATAGAGGCTGAAATATCCAGACAGAGAAGAAGAAACGGAGTCAGATGACAAGGAGAAAGAATCCATAGGCTCTGAGGGGAAGTTATGTTAAAATGTACATGTCATGCCCTAGGGTGCCACTGAGTCACATATATCCAAGTTAATGAACTTGGCATTTGGCACTTTTCCTCTTACCCTCCTGTTTCTCTTTTTCTTCCCCCTACGGCCTCCCCTCATCCCACTACTCCCTCAACATCCCTATCCTGAACGCCACTGCTGTTGCCAGTTGACTATGAACTACTTCCTCATGAAGTAGCTAGCTGATAATTAAAGCGTTGGCTGATGAGGATTACAGCATATTCATAAAAGGAAGCATGCACTTTGGGGCATGATGGTGTAACACGGGCATAGGCCCTCTACTCTTCTTTCTTCTACAAATTCTCATTAAAATACTCAACAGAATAAACAAATATGGAAAAATCTGCAGAAGCACTGGAAACCAAGGATAGGTATTGCCTATGTGCCAGAAACTGGAGGAATTTTCTCTGAATCTTAGTATTATAAGAACTGGATTGAAAAAGCCATTGAGAGCTGAAGCTTATTTGTCTGGGATGTAGCAGAATAGGGCTCTTAAAAGCGAGGGTTGTTCCTCTCCCAGAGATGAGGAAAGGGAGTGGGGAGGGACCCTTTGAAAAGCCCACCCCTTAGGCCCTGTGGCCAACGCTGTTGATTGGTAACCCACTCACCCATTCCCAACTCCTTTCTTCCTTGCCCACCTCCATTATATAGGCTGAAAGAGCTAAACACTTATTTTACCAGCCTCCCTTTTACCTAGAGGTGCCCATATGAGACAGTTTTGTCCACTATAAGGTTTCTGGGAGGCTCCTAAGAAAGCTTTTGCTTTCTTGAAAATGGGATAGTCATGACTGGCATCACCCCTTCTACCTTCTTCCTGCCTTGAATGTATGTGATGCCTGGAACTGTGGCAGCTATCTTGTGACCATGTGGGAAAGGCTCAGAGGATATATTTACTATACTAGGAAAGTATAGCTCTTCCCCTGTAAGACTGTAAATTATAGGAAAGGATATATGAAGAGATTCTGCAGTTCACAAGAAGAGGACCACAAATTTCTGAAGATCTGAAGAAGCTGTCTTCCTCTGAAGTAGAATAGAAGTTTTTAGAAGATCTGAGTTGTGTTGTCAAGAGGATTCGAAGGATATTGCCTCTTTTCAACTAAAGCAAACCATTAGGAAAAGGACATAATCTTAGTTAATGAGATATTGAATAAGGATGAAAAATATTAAATTTAAAACTCCAGTAGAAGCATTGAATAGGCAGTTGGACATTGCAATTGAATACTGCATTAGTGAATTAATTGAGGAAACAGAAAACAAGGAGACAGATAAAAAATAAGAGACTAGATAACAAAGTACGGAGTACAGATCAGAGGATACAATTTAGAAGTCATAGCAGAACAAGAAAGAACACAATAATTTGGGGCAGAAATTAGAGGAAAGCCTTCCTGTCTAAAGACTTCATCTGAAAATTGAGTAAATCAACAATCTCCATGATATAGCCCTTCTTATAGCCTCTCTCCAGCCTCACCTCTCTCCATTGTGCCCCTTGCATCCAAAGCCTTTCCCATAAGACTTCTTCTCCCACCAGGGTTTGAATCCCCAGCACTTAGGACAGTTGTGATATTTAGATACGCTCCCATTTCCACACAGATATAAAAATGCAGGACAAAGTACAGCTTGAAATCCAACTTCCAGGTCTGAATTAAGCAATGAGCCCTTTATTTGTTGAAATGGGAGTGGAAACAGAATCATTATGGGGAGAGGGGGGCAGTAACTGGACGGATTGACAGTGTTGACCTTTATCTTCTCCTTCTCTCTGTTGCACACCCCCTTTTCTCCTAGCTCTCCTAGAGCTTCTTTTCTCTTACTCTGCCTTTCTCATTCTGTTTTCTCTCTCATGCTTTTTCTCCTCTTGAACTGACCATGATGTGAAATTGAAAAATCTGTATTTCTTGGTTTATTGTATTTTAGGTTTAGGAATTAAATTTTTTCTATTTCTTTTTCAAAATATGAAATTAACTGAGGTTTGTCAGTTGTTTTTGTTTGTGTGACCCCAAATTGATTTTTCCCCTGTGGCTCAGTGGCCTTTGGGAGAAGTAAGATTCTTCCTGTAGACCTGCACTGTGTATTCCCAGGATAGTAGGACAGCTGAGCAAATTTGGAAAAGTGGGTGAGGGAAGCTACTTGGGGGGCAGTGAGGTAGGGGTCCCTCTTGCCACTGAACTTTCAGCCTGGGCTGTGATGGGAGGGGTTTGTGAAGGCAAAGGCACAGATACCCCAAGGGCAGCTAGGCGGCACTAGAGAGCCAAGTGAAATGAATGATGCTACTAAAGAGGCAAGTGGAACCAGTAGCATTCTACACAGGCCCTCAGAAAATGCCTAAGTGTTTATGCCAAGCACTGAGGTCATCACCGGCCATCAGCCAGCCAGTGCATCCATGACCCTGAGGATGCCCTGGGGTGACCCACTCCCCACCCCACACACACACACATACATACCCTTCCCCATCTCCTTCACACCTCCACCCCCTCTCAGAGGCAGGCAGGCCCTGAGATAGGAAATTGTTCTCTCCTGTAAACCCCAAAGCGTTTTATCTACTCCAACATTAAGGTACTTAGGACTTTTTACTGTGCCTTATAGTTACCTGTATTTGGTTTATAGTTACTGCATATATCCCAGTGCCCTACTAGACAGGTGAGCTTCTTAAAGGAAAAGTTCCTTCATTGTTCAGGTGGCCATCCATCCACTTATTAACTTAAGGGAACATGCTGTTAAACACATGACCCCCACTTCTAGGTCTAGTCGGGGACAGACATGAAAGGAATTATAGTACATGTGTTAAATGCTTTGAGTGAGGGACATAACACGGCTCTGAGGAAGGGGTGCCACAGCCTGCCTGGGAGACTTAGTGATGTCTTCTCAGAAAATGAGGTGTTTGGGCTCAGTCTAGAAAGAGCAGATGGGGCAAGGACGGCTGATGGCATTTCAGTTGGGGACCACCATGAGCAGAGGGTGAGAGCAGGGTAGGTTTGGAGCACCACAAGTCTTTGCTATTTTTAAAGTACAAATTTAAACAAGGGAGCATGGCAGGAGGTGAGGGAGGCACATAGGGTAAGATTCTGAGGGCCCTGGTGTAACCTGTTGAAGACTTGAGATTTATCTCACCATATTCCTTTTCTCTGGCTATGGTAACAAATTTATTATCTTACAGTTCTGGAGGTCAGAAGTCCAAAATCTACCTCATTGGTCTAAAATCAAGGTCAGCAGGTCAGCATTCCTTCCTGGAAGCTCTAGAGGAAAATTGGCTTCCTTGCCTTTTCCACCTTCTAAAGGCCACCTGCAATCCTTGGCTCATGGCCCGTTCCTCTGTGTTCAGAGCCAGCAGTGTGGCATCTTCAAATCTCTCTCTCTCTCTCTCTGTCTCTTTCTTCCTGAACCTGTCTCCTTTTTATAAGGACTCTTGTGATTTTATTGGGCCTACCAGGATAATCTCCCCATTTCATGATTCCTAACTTAATCACAACTGCAAAATCTTTTTCCCATGTGAGGTAACATATTCACAGGTTCCAGGGTTTGGAAAGTGGAAATCGTTGGGGGCTATTATTCATACTACCACGCCTATGCCTACATAGTCCACAGGAAGTGCGGTCCAGAGATTGTGAGCTACAAGTTATTATAGTTGCATTCTAAGAACCCTGAAGGGTCAAGTTTTAGGGACCAGGAGCTCCACAGATGGGGAATTAGGGAGAGGGCTTAGCTAAGGGGCACCTTGGCTTCACCTGGCCAGTTTAGGGAGAGAGAGACCAAAAGCCCTGGAGGTGCCTTCCTACCAGTATTGATCAGGTTTCTCCATAGCGCTGCAGAGGGCTCAGACTGGGGATGCTGGGGGAGGGAAAGGAAAAGCTATACTGCTAACAAAATGAGGGGCTCAGAGAGAGAGTAGAGATACTGCCGACACCGCTGGGGTCAGTGCTAGGAGAATAACACTAGGAGGTCTGCTCCATCCACCCAAGACCATAGTGAGCCTGTGGTGTTGGGCTCCAGTAACTCCTGAGTAGGGTGGTAAGCTGACCGCATCCCTTCGTAGGAGGGGGCCTTAGAGATGGGAATCTGAGAGGGGCAGTTCCTGGCCTGACCCAGCACAGGTCACACAGACTCCTGATAACATGAAGGACTCATGCTGAGCCATCAGAGAATCCGAGAAGACTTAGGTGAGAATGTGGTTTTGAAATTGATGGTAGAATTTAGAATCTTATATTTACCAAATTGGGTTACACTCAATAGTCAAACCAAAAAAAAAAAAAAAACCAAACCTGTTGCCATCGATTTGATTCTGACTTATAGTGGCCCTACAGGACAGAGCAGAACTGCCCTGTAGGGTTTCTAAGCAGAAGCTGGTGGATTTGAACTGCCAACCTTTTGATTAGCCGCCAAGCTTTTAACCACTGTGCAACCAGGGCTCCATATTAAACACATCAAAGTTAATTTCAGCCACATCAAAAAGTTGACATGAGATAATCTATAGTCAGAGCTTAATAAATGTTTGATGAGTGAGCAAAGAAAACCCAGATTCACTGAGAAGCCACCGTGGAGACCTCCACATCATTTCTAGAGCTAAGGTGAGAGATTCCCTGGTATGGATTGAATTGTGTCCCCCACAAAAATGTGTTGTAAATTCTAACACAATACATGTGGAGGTAATCCCATTTGGAAATAGGGTTTTTGTTATGTTAATGAGGCCATATCAGCATAAGGTGTGTCTTAAATCAATCACTTTTAAAATGTAAAAGTAGCAGATCAGGCACAAAAGCAAGCAGGCACAAATGGGAGAAAGATAGTTGCCACGTGGAGATCTCCAAGGAACACCAAGAAGACTGCTAGAGAAGCTAAGACAAGAATTTTCCCCCAGAGTGGACAGGGAAAGCCCTCCCCTAGAGCCAGTGCCTTGAATTTGGATTTCTAGCCCCCTAAACTGTGATAAATTTCTGTTGGTTAAAGCCACCCACTTGTGGTATTTCTGTTATAGCAGCGCTAAGAAACTAAGACAGTCCCCAGTGTATCATGGAGACATTTAGTTTTGAAGATTCCAGAGGGAAAAGGGGGAGCCTCAGATACTGTGGCCTCCCTTGCCGTTCACATCACCAGCATTCACCAGGTAAAGACAGTGTTCCACAAAGGCTCAGGAGTATACCCCTAGTTGTGAAAGTTCTATGTTCGATTCCATCCCCGTTGCACTAAACCAGCCCATGCTTCCACAGATTGTTCCTCAAGACCAGTCTCTCCTGAAAAAACTTTCTCTAGGACCCCTGCAGTAAACAATCTCTCTCTTCATCACCTGTATGAGGACATGCTAAGGTGATAGTGTACCCAGGGACAGCTGTGGCTCTGCTGCTAACTAGTCACACTTTTTCTCTGAGTTCTTTCCTCATCTGTCAAAGAAAAAAGATGGTCGGATCTCAGGTCTAATGTTATATCATTCTTACTGACATTTGTGGTTTTTTATCTGTCTGAGTTTTGATTATTGATTTGGGTTGGAAGTCTGCCGTGGGGAACTGGGTTTTCAATAGCAGTAAGCACACCATTACTCAACAAATGAGAAATAATTAAGAACAGCTGCATGCAACTAGAAACAGTCTCATTTGGTACATCCTGTGTTTAGATTGCTTAACCCTCTGATAGCACCTAAACTCTGGCTTTAGAATATGGCTCTGGAAGTATGCTTTAAGCCTGGTTTTCTTTGACCAGTTTAGCAATGGGTAGGTAAATGGGTCAACCTAAGGTTATACTTCATCTTTTCCTTTAGCACTTCGTAAAGCTATATAACCTTAACATTCCCTATACCTTCTGTCATTATTGTCTGTGAGCTTTCCAGAGTGAGGTAGCGTTTTGAGGAGAAAATGTTTTGTGCATGTGTGTATCTGTGACACTGTCATTCCATGGTGTTTATAAGAAAGAGTGAGAGAATGTGTTTCTGGGTGTGTAATTAAATAAATAACATGTGTTCTTTTATTTAACAGCTGAAGCAATGGAAGGCATTTGAAGAGGAAAACCAAACAATCAGACGCATGGCCAAATACTTCAGTACTCGCAGCAAAAGCTTCCATACCCAGTGTGGTGAGGAACAGAACTGCCACTCGAGAGGAGAAAAAAACTCCATGGAAAGGCTCCTTACAGAAGTAAGCTAACCCCTGCCTGGCCAATTCTCTACAAAGAACCCCAATCATCTGCCCCCTCATGCACCAGTGGCTTTCAATGCTCTCATTGACACTTTCTGTCTTCTCATTCCCCCACTTCCTAGGCTCTCCAGCTTCCCTTAGCAGCAAACAAAAACTCGGCATTTCCCCAGTGACTCTCCTATTGCTGACCATCGCCCACCTCATTCATTCATTGAACAGGTGTATATTAAGTCATTCGTATGTGCTAGGCATTGTGCTAAATGCTGATGAGCAGAACACTCATGGAAGTCACAGTGTAGTGGAGGAAACAGATGTTAAATAAACATATAATTATAAATTGTGGTAAGAATTATGAAAGAAAAAATCAGGGTAGTAAGACAGTATAATGGATGGTGAAGGCAGGGAAACCTAGACTTTACAGCAGTCAGGAAAAGACTCTCTGAGCTGAGAGCTGAAGGTTAAGTATAAATTGGACAGACAAAGAGTACGAGGAAAAGTATTCCAAGCAGAGGGAACAGTATTGCAACGGGCCTGAGTCATAGTGGACACTAGCCACTTCTGTGTGATAACATTCTTTCTTTATATAGAGTAGTGCCCTTATTTGCAAGATCTTAAGAGGCCCCATGCTGTCTCTTCCAGGTACTAACTTGATATATTAGTAATCTTATCTTCCCAGAAAGTCAAGAAGTGTCTACAGATTGGGAGGGAGACTGAACAAGGACCTCTGACTGTTACTATAGCACCAAGAGGGACCAGGCAGCCCCCAGCTCTTTTTTTTTTTTTTTTTTCTTTTTTTTTTTGCTGTACTTGAGCCAGAGTTGGTACCTTTCCCAGACTTAGGCAGTATGGCGTGAACTCAAAGAAAGTGCATGGAAAGCTTAAGGACTGCATTTTCTCAGGAAGAAAGCACAGGGCCCAGGGGAATTAGTATTTTGACACTAACTAAATTACAGTCCATATTTTTTTTTCAGTACAGAACATACATGAGTAGGTGCTATTGAGAAACTGTGCTTTTTGTAAGGGGACTGCTACCGGGGTATTAATAGTCCCTGTGTGAGAGGGTGGTGTGCTGGGGACCTAAGAAACACAACAGACCTACTCAGGACAAAGGGATTAGAGCCTCCCCAGGCACCCACTGTCTGTGTCTCCCTAGTCTTCCGCACTGTCCCCTTGGTTCTGGACCTTCTTTATCCATCAGAATAATATCTCTCCGCTTATTTATGATTTTTGAAGCATTCAGGGCATTAATTCAAAGCCAGAGTCCTTCCCACCTGGCAAAGGAGTGGCATTGCCTTTGATACCCTGTGAAGTCTTCAAAGAAGAATTTTTTATTTTATTTTATTTTATTTTTTTCCAGCTAAACAGAAGGCCAGAAACTTGGCTAGAAGAGCCAGGGTGGTTTTCATTCACAATCAGCTAATGTTGGAACAGCCAAGTGGACTGACTCTTTAGCCTTATGGTAATTTGTGACGAGCTTTTTGTACTTCTGCCCACTAGCCTGTTTCCCACGCAGTGACTGAATCCACTTTGTCCAAAAAGATGCCTTGAGTCCATGGAGGAAGGGCCCTAATAGGATACAGATGCAGAGGCAGTGAAAAGTTGGCTTCCTCACCACACCCTACACCTGGAACATCTTTCCCAAAACAGGCCTGGGAACCAGCGGCCAGTCCCAGGGCCCTGTGGCAGACCCAGAGAGGTCCCCTTAGGAAGTGGAAATGGATTCCAGTATCTGCATCCCGAGCTCTGCCCTGCTGGTTAGATACACAACTGCCTCAGTATGTGCACAAACCCTCACCCCAGCTTCTCAGTTTTCGGCTACCGCCTACACACCCCCTTCCTACACAGCCCCCTCTGCCACCTCGGCACCTTCTTCTTTCCTTCCCATGATCTGGGTGGTCCATCATCTCGCTCTTGCCTTCTTGCCCCTGTGGCCAGGAGACCCCAGAGGCTGAGCTGGGGCAGCATCCATGACTGACTGCCCAGGCTGCGTGAAGGCCAGCAGATAGGACCTTCCCCAGGTGGAAGAGTCTCCCTTCCACACTCCACAGCAGAGGAAACTCACTTATTACTTTTCTTCCTTGGATCATAGAACCAGGAGAGTGATTCCCTGTCTCCTAATGGTCTGTATGAAACACACCTCAGGATGTTTTGCTTCCCCAGATGTGCAAAAGTAATCATTAATAAGCTCACTTAAGTACAACTGCACAGTAGGTCAGATTTTGATCTCGCAGTAGCATTGCTGACACCATACCTCTCATTTGTAGGTAGCCATGGTGCAAACAGAGTCCCACTTCCTTTTCTGAAAGAAGGGACATTTACTGTTTAGGCTGATAGTTCTAAATCTATCACCAGCCAGCTTCAGATGTTTGGTTTGCTGGAGAAAACGCATTCTTCTCACCTTAGTGTTTACACTATTTCCCTATGCTCAAAGAGGTTTGAGGATAAGGAACAAAAAAAGCAGAACTCAGATTTTACCAGCTGGGGTAGTTGTTATCAGCTGATGGCGTCTTCCTAACTTTGGGAGGCAGTAGAGGCCGCCTGAGCCATCGTGAGAATGTGCGGGGTGGGCTTCACGGGGGGCAGGGGCTGGTAGAGAAGAGGGTTGGGGTCCCTCAAGTGCAGCCATCACGTCACTCCTATGAGATCCTCAAGGAGATATCTGGCACAAACCAGCTACCATAAAGAGCCTGAATGTCTCCTGTTATTCACTCGCTCTGTACCAGCGAGTCCTTGAGTCATCTGCAAGTACCTGGAAATGGCCAGACCTTACTTACTGCTCGGCGGGTGGGGAAGAGGGAGAGCAGGCAGGCAGGTGCTCTGCTGAAAGTCCCTTCTGCCTTACTCACCAGTTACTCACTCGTCCTGGACTCCCTCCTGATGATAAAATAAGTCAACCAAAACAGGGATGTAATTGGCAGTACTGATAATCAGAAAAATTACCTTCCTGCTTATGAATACGGAACAGTGGGTCTGCCTGTGGAGTTGCTGCCAGATTATTGGACTATTTTCCTTAATCTACTGCTCCCTTAAAGGATCATTTCTGGGCAACTCTGCCATGGGAACTGGAAAGAAAAAAAAACAGGCTCCATCCATGAACGACTTATATTAGGGATCCTAACAGAAGGAAACACGCTTTTGTTTGTAAGGCATAATAAATGGATGGTCTTATTCCTCAGCTTCTAAAGAGGATGACAACCAAGAGGCAGCATTTTGGTATTTGGACAAGCACTTCTTTGAGCACAATGCTTGTGTGATTGCTGTCCCCAAACCCTAGACCCCATGTCATCTGCCCCAAGACCACCGGTTCCGTGATGATCTCATCCTGTTCCACTGCCTTTGAGTATCAGAAATCTCAGGTGGTGGAGATACTGTCTGAGGTATGGAACCAGCTGCTGTACCATAGAAAGACGTTCAGGCTGCCGTCCTACCCTGTATACCCACTGCCGATACTCTTACTCCTACTTGATGCCCCCTGATCTTGCAGTTAAAACAGCCACACCCCTATAGTTCTCACCTGCCAGCGCACCCAGGCACAACCTGTTTATTAGCTGACACCCATGCAGCAGGTGGGCAGCTCAGCAGACCTGCCTCAGCCTCATCCATCTTCTGGGCTCCATTCTAGGTCTATTGAATCAAGCTTTCAGGAGGTGAAGCCCAACAATCCCCTTTATTTATTTTTATTTCTTAAAGCTTCTCTAGTAATTCTGATGCCCAGACTTCTTTAGAAGATATCTGTCTGGCACTGCCACATGGTGGCTTTGGCCTCCCAGCCCCAGAGGTCCAACCTAGGGAGGTTAGAATATTTTTTTATTGTACTTTAGATGAGGGTTTACAGAGCAAATTAGTTTCTCATTAAACAATTAATGCACATATTGTTTTGTGACAGTTGTTGCCAACCCCACTACATGTCAATACTCTCCCCTTCTTGACCTTGGGTTCCCCGTTATCAGTTTTCCTGTCCCCTCCTGCATTCTTGTCCTTGCCCTGGGCTTGTGTGTCCCTTTAGTCTCATTTTGTTTTATGGGCCTGTCTAATCTTTGGCTGAAGGGTGAACCTAGGAATGACTTCATTACTGAATTAAAAGGGTGTCTGGGGGCCATACTCTCGGGGTTTCTCCAGTCTCTGTCAGGCCACTAAGTCTAGTCTTTTTTTGTGAGTTAGAATTTTGTCCTACATTTTTCTCCAGCTCTGTCCAGGACCCTCTATTGTGATCCCTGTCAGAGCAGTCAGTGGTGGTAGCCAGGCACCATCTAGTTGTGCTG